GCTCTTCCAGGAGATGTGGCGTCAAGGCGAAGTCCCGCAAGATTTCAAGGACGCAACTATCGTGCACCTATACAAGCGCAAAGGGAATCGCCAAATCTGCGACAACCACCGCGGCATCTCCCTACTGAACATCGCCGGGAAGTTCTTCGCTCGCATCCTGCTCAACCGCCTCAACAACCATCTGGAACAGGGCCATCTGCCGGAAAGTCAATGCGGCTTCCGTCGTCATCGTGGGACCACGGATATGATCTTCGCAGCCCGTCAACTTCAGGAGAAGTGCCAGGAGATGCGGACCCACCTGTACTCTACCTTCGTGGACCTGACGAAAGCCTTCGACGCGGTGAATCGTGAAGGACTGTGGAAGATCATGCAGAAATTCGGCTGTCCGGAGCGATTCACTCAGATGGTACGTCAGTTGCACGACGGTATGATGGCGCGAGTCACGGACAACGGAGCTGTCTCAGAGGCATTCGCAGTGACCAACGGAGTGAAGCAGGGATGCGTGCTGGCACCAACCCTCTTCAGTCTTATGTTCTCTGCCATGTTGATGGACGCCTACCGCGACGAACGCCCTGGAATCCGCATCGCCTACAGAACGGACGGTCATCTCCTGAATCGCCGGCGCATGATCTTCCAATCGCGCATATCCACAACTACCGTGCACGAACTCCTCTTCGCCGACGACTGCGCCCTGAACACCACCTCCGAAGCGGAGATGCAACGGAGCATGGACCTATTCGCCGCCGCCTGCGAGAACTTTGGGCTGGTTATCAACACGCAGAAGACGGTGGTGATGCACCAACCGCCGCCCAACTCAGCCGCAGCCCCCAACGCGCCGCAAATCAACGTGAATGGGACTCAACTGCAAGTGGTGGAGAACTTCCCGTATCTGGGCAGTACCCTCTCCCACAACACCAAGATTGATGACGAAGTCGCCAACAGGATCTCGAAAGCCAGTCAAGCCTTTGGTCGTCTCCGAAGCACAGTTTGGAATCGCCACGGTCTCCGACTGAGCACGAAGCTGAAGATGTACAAGGCCGTCATCCTGCCGACGTTACTGTACGGAGCAGAGACATGGACGGTGTACACGAGACAGGCACGCCGACTGAACCACTTCCACCTCAGTTGTCTCCGTCGCATCCTGAGGCTGAACTGGCAGGACCGAATCCCCGACACGGAAGTACTGGAACGAACGGGAATCCTCAGCATCTACGCCATACTGAAACAAATGCAGCTGCGCTGGAGCGGCCACCTGGTGCGCATGGACGACGAGCGACTACCCAAACGACTCTTCTACGGAGACGTCGCGACGGGTTCTCGTCGTCAAGGAGGCCAAATTCGCCGTTACAAGGATACTCTGAAGTCCTCCCTGAAGCGCCTGCAAATCAACCCGACCAACTGGGAAGAGCTCGCTCGCGATCGTCCGACATGGAGTAGAACAGTGAAGACGGGCGCTGCTATCTATGAAGCCAACCGAATCGCCGCCGCCAAAGCGAAACGCGAAGCCCGCAAATCACAACTTTGCCCAGTCCGCAACGCCGCCGCACAACCGCTCCCAACGTGTCCTCGATGTCAACGGACATTCCGTGCACGAATCGGACTTGTTGGACATCTCCGAACCAACTGCACCTCTCGAACTGCTCCAGCCATCGTCCCCCCGCCCGCCTCTTCCTCCTCTCTTCCGCCAACTAACTCTGACACTCCTTCTGCACCACCAATTCCATCCTCCTCGTCCTCGTCGTCCTCCTCCCTCTCCACTGCCCCAGCGGCGGCCGTTCAGACTGCTGTCTCACACATCACCAACACCAACACACCAACCAACATCACCTCTCCCACCTCTCCCGATTCCAGTGATGAGGATCAGGACTACACCTGCCCTCACTGTGACCGCACCTTCACCTCACACATCGGCCTGGTCGGTCACTTGCGAATCCATCGCACAGAGACTGGCGAACCAGTGCCTGGAGCACCAACCTACACTCACCGCACTCGCCTCCACTGCCCACACTGCCCTCGCACCTTCACGCATCGCATGGGTCTATTCGGCCACATGCGCATCCGCGAGAGCGGAATTGACCGCAGCCTTGACACACCCACCCCACCGAGCCCCACTCCCAATCCACCACCTTGTGCACCCACTAACCACTCCCCAGCCGACATCGACGCCACCGACCTTACCACCCCTCACTCCTCCCCTTCCTCCTCCGTTTCCTCCATCACTGCCACAACGACGGCCGCTTCGGCGTCTGTCGCCCACGACTTCACCACAGCCGAACCTGACACAACAACAGGCACAACCCCTGCAACCTCCATCATCAGACGTGAGGGCCAGGACTACATCTGCCCTCACTGCGATCGCACCTTCACCTCACGCATCGGCCTGGTGGGTCACTTGCGAATCCATCGCACAGAGACTGGCGAACCAGTGCCTGGAGCACCAACCTACACCCACCGCACTCGCCTCCACTGCCCACACTGCCCTCGCACCTTCACGCATCGCATGGGTCTATTCGGCCACATGCGCATCCACGACGACCTGCGGTAGACAACTGCTGGTCACACCACACATTCCCTCACTCTCTACCTCCTAACACCATCACCCCATCAGACATCAACCCCCACACACCTCATGCACTCAACTGCCGCCTCCCACGCAAGTGGGAAGTGTGCATCTCGACTCGGTCCCCATGCGGCTTTGGCTGCATGGGTGACTTGTGTTCGAGACTATCCCGACACGTCAAGCGTCGTGGATAGGAAGGTTGCTGATTGAGGCCCGCTCTCGGTTCACGCAGCTCGTCACGTTGTGTGTGTGTTGTGTGTAGTGGCGGACTGGTGGGCTGGGGACGGGTTGAAGCAGCACCTTCCACGGCCCTCTCACGCAAGTGGGAGACACGCCGTTCAACCCCCGTTGTGTGAAATCCTGGTGTTTGTGTGTATGGGGGGGGCCAGGTCGTGCTGTGGCGCGCGCAGTCATGGTCAGTCGACCATGTCAGCCACCGCGCCCATTCCCCACTCCAGTCTACTGACCGGCTCGGACAGTGGCTGGGGTGTGGGAATGGGAAGGGAGAGTGAGGTCGACGACTCAGCGCATTTCCTCACTACAATCAATCTGACGCGCTTGAAGCTATCACGGTGCGCTAAAAGCCGTGGCTTGGAAGGTTGCCAACTGACGGGGTACCTTGGACCTCCTTCTTAACGGGAGGCGGTCTGAGAGTCAGGCTGCAATGGCTCCTTTTTAATGTGGCCTTTATGGCATTCCCACCACAGCGTGGGATCCGAGCCAGGCGTTGGCGGCACGCCTAGGTGCGGCTTCGGCCGTGCCAGCCTCCAAATCTCTGTTGTGTTGGTTGAAATCCTGGTTATTGTTGTGTGGACCAGGGGGTGTGGTGGAACGCCAAGGTGAGGATCCGTCCGAGCCATCCACCTGCGGCCTCCCTCGTCTCCGGTCTTCTTGACTCTGTCTTGACACCGGGCCCAGGCGGGGGAGGAGGAGAGAGTGTAGGTAGATGCAGCGCAAGTCTACCGGCACTATAAACCCCTGCGCAAGTCACCGTCCCTGCTCCCACCGCTGCTGCAGCTGTGGGGCACACGGTGGTCATCGTCGAAACCGACGGACGAACTGGCGTATTTGAGAGAGTGCCCTCTGAACGAGCCACGTGTTAGATGCGCTGGACCAGCACGGGGGCCACATCGGACTCTGGCAGGCGTTATCTGTGCGCAATAACAAATGCCAACATTCCCGGGGTACGCTGGCGGACCCTGTTGTCGGCACTCGTCGCACAACTGGACCACTGCCACCACCCCATTGTTTTGTGGTCAAAATCCTGGTCATTTGTTTGTGGACCAGGGGGTGCGGAGTGGAGCGCCAAGGCGAGGATCCGTCCGAGCCATCCACCTGCGGCCTCCCTCGTCTCCGGTCTTCTAGACTCTGTCTTGACACCGGGCTCAGGCGGGGGAGGAGGAGAGAGTGTAGGTAGATGCAGCGCAAGTCTACTGGCACTATAAACCCCTGCGCAAGTCACCGTCCCTGCTCCCACCTGCTGTGGGGCATACGGTGGACATCATTGAAATCGATGGTCGAACTATCGTGTGTATGGGGGGCCAGGTCGTGCACGTGGCGCACGCGGGCATGGTCAGTCGACCGTGCCAGCCACCGCGTCCATTTCCCACCCCAGTCTGCTGACCGGCTCGAACAGTGGCTGGGGTGTGGGGATGGGAAGGGAGGGTGAGGCTGACGACTCATCGCACTTCCTCCACGCTATAAACAATCTGACGTGCTTGAAGCTATCACGGTGCGCTAAAGGCCGTGGCTTGAAAGGCTGCCAACTGACGGGGTAACTCGGACCTCCTCCTTGACTGGTGGAGGTCTGAGAGTCAGGCTGCAATGGCTCCTTCTTAATGTGGCCTTTATGGCACTCCCACCACAGCGTGGGATCCGAGCCAGGCGTTGGCGGCACGCTCAGGTGCGGCTGTTTCGGCCGTGCCAGCCTCCAAATGTCTGTTGTGTTGGTTGAAATCCTGGTTACTGTTGTGTGGACCAGGGGGTGTGGTGGAACGCCAAGATGAGGATCCGTCCGAGCCATCCACCTGTGGCCTCCCTCGTCTCCGGTCTTCTTGACCCTGTCCTGACTCCGGGGCCAGGCGGGGGAGGAGAGAGTGTAGGTAGATGTAGCGCAAGTCTACCGGCACTATAAACCCCTGTGCAAGCCATTGTCTCTACTCCCACCGCTGCTGCGGCTGTGGGGCACACGGTGGACATCATCGAAATCGACGGTCAAACTGTCGTGTGTGTGGTGGGGGAAGGGGGGGCGTAGGCGTGTCAACGGTGGGTTCACGTGATGATCGTAGTGGTCGCTCACTTGCTTGCAGGTGAGACTACGCCTAGCGTTCATTTGCTGGCACTCAGCTCTCTCCTGTC